GCCAATCGTGTGGGCATACTTGGATCAATTTTAGCAGTACATGCATTTATTACCAGCAATCCTAATTGTAGTACCAATACTTTTGGACATTACATATAAAATGTACATGCATCAAGATTTATGTCCCCAAGTCTGCTCCTTTCAGCACTAGTTGCCTTTGCAGCACGCAATATCTTAGTTCATCACAAGATTCAAATTCTTTGATATAGTAAAAATTCTAAATAATTAGCACATACAATTATTTTTTTAAAAGTTTATCACATCAGTCAGTCCAATGCACTTTATAAGAACCTTATATAAAATCTTTATCCGAATTTAATTAGTTGGCTCATTGTTCTAATCTCTTGACCTCTTAATTTGTAACCAAGTATCCTATGTATTCTTACAATTTCTTGGAGTAGATTCTGTCATTTTTCTTCTATTTGCTTTACAATTACACTTTCTTTTATATTATTACCTTTTTTATATAAGGTCATAAATAATGTATCCTAAAACATCTAATCATAAAATACTATATATGACTATTAATTCCGAACAAAATCTTGCCATAGTATTCAGTATTATATAAATCGTATAGTTGTTCACCGTACCGACGGTCCAATGCAGACGTGCTTGATCACTCCATTGCATATTTGCATGCATGGAAAATTTTTTTATGCAGCTTGTAATTGCTTTGGATGATCTTAAAAATGTTTTCTTCTCCTTTTAAGAGATTTTATTTTTGGTAGATTTTAAATTTTATTCAACACATACTTTCTAAGATATGAAATTTCAAATTTGATAAATACAATAATTCCTGCAATTCTATAATGTTAATGTTATGATGTGATGTGTGCACTGCACTGTGATATGAATTGGAATTCAATGAGGAAAGTTTCTTATTTGTACCCCACTACTTGGAACTATGGATCATCCGCCCTTGCTTGTCGGAAAATAAACAAAAAAAATCTCTATTTCCTTTTAATATTTTTTTTTATTTACCTACATTTTAATATGGATATATAATTATCAAATTTTTAAATGAACGTGGTTCACACTAATTTATTGTGGACCACTAATATTAGAGAAACTATAATTGTTTTATTAATAAAAAAAAGTCACTATAATAAAAATAAGGTCACTATGTTGAAATAAAAGTTATTTTGGTAATATATAGGCTATAAGAGGTTAAATTTTTTAATGAAATAAATTATATACTGGTCAATATGGAAAATAAAGGTCACTATGTTAAAATTAGGGTTATAACGTTGTATTCAAGTTCACAATAATATTAAATGTTATACAAGTTTTAATAAAGGTTACTATGTTAAAAATAAGGTTACTATGTTAAAAATAAAGGTCACTATGTTCAATATAACGTCAGTTGTGTGTGTAAAAATATCGGGTCCACAATAATATTATTGTGGACCAGGTCCACGCAAGTCTTTTTGTTAAATGAACCTGGTTCATACTAATTTATCGTGGACCACTAACATTAGAAAAAGTATGGTTGTTTTATTAATAAAAAAAAGGGTCACTATAATTAAAAAAAATCACTATATCGAAATAAAAATCATTTTGGTAATATATAGGCCTAAGTGGTTATTTTTGTAATGAAATATTTTATATACTGATCAATATGAATAATAAAGGTCACTATGTTAAAATTAGGGTAATAGCGTCGTATTTCAAGTTCACAATATTATTAAACGTTGTATTAGTTTTAATAAAGGTTACTAGGTTAAAAATAAGGTTACTATGTTAAAAATAATGGTCACTATGTTCAATATAAAGTCAGTTGCGTGTGTATAGACCTCGGGTCCACAATAATATTATTGTGGACCAGGTCCACGCAAGTCTGGTTCACACTAATTTATTGTGGACCACCAATATTAGAGACAATATGATTGTTTTGTTAATAAAAAAAGTCACTATATTAAAATAAAGGTTATTATGTTGAAATAAAAGGTATTGTGTCATAAGCTATAAGAGGTTAATTAATTTTTTTAATGAAATTTTTAATTCAATGGTCAATATGAATAATAAACACCTCTATCTTAAAATTAAGTTACTATCAACATAATGTCGTACTTTAATTTCATAATAACATTAAAGGTCGCACAAGTTTTTAAAAAGGTTACTATATTAAAATTAAGGACACTATGTTGAATATAATGCCAGCTATGTATGTATAAATCTCAGGTCCACAATAATATTATTATGGACCAGGTCCACGCAAGATTTTTTGTAATTATCAATGCAAGAGTTATTTTGATTAATCATTTGTTTATTTAACTTCTCTCGATCTTTTATATTATATATATATATATATATATATAATGCATTACGTGTTAATAATAACATATGTATGTTACTATGTTGTAAGTAAACAATTAAAGGAAAAAGTACAAATTACTTCAAATCATTTCAGTTCAATTCATTTTCAAAGTAATTAAATTTCTAGTAATTCATGTTAATAAAATTATAAAATACTAATGGATAATTAATTAATTAATTACATATTTACATGCGTATGAACTATTAAAGGTGATTAATAATGAGTTTAAATGACCATGTTCAATACCTACTCAACAACGAACCCTCATTATTTTCATAAGCCGAGTAATACTAGTAACTACTAATTAGTAAGCTCGACAGGAGACGGTAGACATAACCAATGTAGTAGAACAAGAAGGACAAAGCAAAATGGACAACAAACTTATAAAACCCAACAAGGGAAGTAATCCCCAAAATGGGCGTTACTTCCTTCCATATGTTTGCCTATTGCCAAATACATTCCCTTAACGCAAACATATCACGAAGCAAGGTTGAAAAAGCTACTATCACTGTCCCACTCGAATTGTCCCATAAGACGGAATATCAATACTCCATATATTTTCCCACCTTTTATAAAGTATGAATAAATTCTTATAAATATTATTGAGACGATTATGTCCCTAAAAATGTTTATTTACGTATTAATTTTATTTCCTTTCAAAAGTATGACCACACTATTATGAATAGTGTTGAGACGATTATGTCCCTTGAAATGTTTAATTACCTATTTCCCGTTATTAATATCAATTATTTTTGTAACTCTTAAAAATAGTGTGTAGACATTCATACTACCCCTAAACATATTAGTTTAACACTACTAAAAACTAAATTTATAACATAACACCAAATCAAAAGAAATTTCCGGTCATGGTTCACTATGATGCACGCATCGCGCGTGAACCTCCCTTTTAAAAAAAAAAAAAAAGTTTTAAGCAAGCACTCCGTAATAATGATATAAAAATTTGGTGAAGTGATATAAGATCAAGTAAACTAGCTAGTAATCAACATGTTACGTATAATACGGGATAAATTCAATCAAAACACACAATAGTAAATTACGAGATAATTTTAGTTGGAATGAGGGAGTACAACCAACATAAACCATCATTTTCATATGATATAGTCCTAGTACAACGTAGACAGGTGTAAGAAGGTCACGTACATACTAAATTCCTTAATTCTGCAGTTTATTTATTTTGTGCTAATTAAATTTACTGCTACTGGGTATTGGTATAATGGTATTGATATTGCTAGCTTCGTCTTCACTGTCTTTCTCTCGTTTACCGTTTTCAATGCCCCACTGACTCCGTTATGACATCTTACACAGGCCAGCTCATTGCCTCACGCTTTTCATTTAATTTTATTTTTTCAAATTCGAACTTTTTTTAATTTTGGACTTTACTCTACATTGCCATGAATTTTAAGGTGCAATAATATTAACCTTGATCTATAAATTTAATGCAAAATAGAGCTATTAGTTATGGCATTATATGTTATAGTCTTATAGGATTTGATAGTTTGGGAAAGCATTAGTACAATATAAAAACACAAGTAAATGAATATGTAAAAGAAATTAATATTAAAATAATATAACATAGCGAATGTGACAATTTAGGGTCTGTTCTGACTGAACTGAACTGAATTTATTGGAGCTGAACGGAATATTTTATGAAAGAATGAAATTAAGAATTGAACTGAAATAGAAGTGAACTTAATTGAAAATAATCTGAAGAGAACAAGTCCTAAGTGTAGTATCATATTCTATGAGTGACTTGCGCGTCTCACCATGGACGAGTGCTACAATCAACTTGTTAGTACTACAATAAATATATAAAAAAAAAAATTAAAGTAATTTCAAAATGCCTTTGTTTGAAAAGGGTTAGTAATACTTCTTAACATGTAAGAGAGACTTATGTTGATATATTATTCTTAGCTAGGTGTATTAAACTATAATTCATTTTTTAATTGATATTCCATATGTAAACAACACATTTTAAAGATAAAACAAAATATAGGGGCGAACATGTTTCTAGGTAAGTAACCCAAATATATAACAGACATTACCCCTAAGATAATACAAACTAAACATTCATTTTAGAATCCAAATTACTCCAATAGCACATACATACACACCTCATTAAAAGCTCATAACAACAAAAGAATGAAATCTGTTTTGGTAAAATCTAGTCACAACCCTTATAACAAAAAAAAGCCCTTTTTATAGGGGATTATTTACATATGAAAGGAACAAATTCTACAAAGTAATCAATGCAAAATTTAAACTTCAAATGTTACCAACAAACATTTAAATTAATTTAAATTATTAATAAACATAAAATAAAATTAAAACTAGCTAGCTAGCCCATGCATATCCATCCACATCTATACCATTTTTATGATCACTGAAAACCGTCTTTATGGCATGACAAACTTCCTCCCCCTTCTAACCCACGCGGTACACCTTATAACCAAGTGCTAGCTAGCTGTTTTTTTCAATTTTTTTTTTCATAAATACAAGAAATTTCCTCTAAATATTTATATATATATATATATATATACCTTAAGAAATATACATGTATTTATATATAAATACTCATATATAATATATATTCATATATTATTATTGCTTTCTTTCTAAACCTTATAAATATTATTGTCATGGGTTCTAACACTACTACCAACAACAACAACAACAAACAACAACATTCCATGCATTATTCAACCTATGAATCTTCTTCAACCACCAACAACACAACTTTTGTTCAAGCTGACCCTTCCAACTTCCGTGCCATCGTCCAACATCTTACCGGATCCCATACGACCGCCTCCTCGTCTCAAGGTGTGGCTCCATCCGAAGGGATGGTTCGGATGGGGCCGGGTTTAAGCTTCATGAGAGGAGGCAGCAACAAGGTGCTTATTAGGAAGTTGGAGATGATCAAGCTTAATCATAATAGTAATAATAGTAATGCTCATAATAATAATAATCATCATGGGCCTTTAAATGGGCATGTTAGGGTTAGAGGAGGGCATGATGTGGCTATGGTTTCGCCCGTTTCGACGTTGGATGGGTTAGGCCTCGGGGTTAGAAGCCCGAGGACTAACCTAGTGGTAGCATGAGTGAGGAAGAAAAGAGGGTGGTTATTGCTGAGAAAGGGTTTTATTTGCATCCGGTTAGTCCATTAAGTGGTGGTAGTAGAGATTTTGAGCCTCAACTCTTGCCTTTGTTCCCTCTTCATTCTCCTAGAGATAATGGTCAAGGTTAAAATAATTAATTTAATTTCTATGATTTTGAATTGTTTACTTGATTACTTCTACTATAAATTAGAAGTATTAGCTGGGAAAATAGAAAAATTAATTAAGTCCATCGGTTTTCTAATTAGTGGTCTTTGTATCATAGTTTTTTATTTAATCATATAGCAAAGAGAATTGGCATGGTTGATTTATACAATGTGGATTTAATCATTTTTTTTTAATGTCATTAGTTATGGTTCACATTTCATCAAAGGTAAAAAGGTGTACAGACTGTACATTTTAAACGAGATAAGGTGATAAGGATGTTTTGAAATTTTGGTAAGACAAACATTCGTGTCTCGATAATAATGAATGATATCGAAAGTCTCAAAAAGCATGCATAACAAGATGTTATGGGGTATATCTAATTAATGATTAGTTGTAAAACTTATTCTTTACATATAAAATTAGATGTCTTGAGCACTACATGCAAAATTTCTCCAATAGTTGATTATCTTTAGTGTTGGATTGAAAAAGGTTAAACATCATTGTAGCAAAAATTTAAAATCTTAATTAGCTATAGCCTAGAGAGGAAAGATATTACACTTATTATATAATGATAGTCTATGTTTACATCAAGGAGGATTTTTATTGATCTTTCTTTTTCTTAGGAAACCATGGACAACAAAAACTTTTCACATCTTTTATGCTACAAGTAATTTATAAACTGTTTAAATTTTTTTAATAATATAAATTCACATCTTTTATGCTACAAGAAATTTGTAAATTGTTTAAACTTTCATAACAATTATACAATTTATTGATTCCTCATATATATATCCGTCAAATCTTGTAGATATCCGCCAATTAAGTCTTCACCGCAATAATGGATGAATCTTGAAATTCTCAATAAGCTCGCAAGGACAAGTTGGCAAGGAGTTATCTAATGACCATAATTACTTTGAAATGATTCGATATTCTACTCATACCGACTAGATGCATTTTATTAGGGAGTTCATCATATGCTAAGATACGTACACCAAAGATAAGTGTAATGGGTTGAGAGTAGAGTTAGAATAATATATGATCTATTGGAAAGTTTTTTGGGTGATCATGAGTAAGGAGAAAAAAATAAGTCAAGAAGAACTTGTATTGGTTTGTGATCGAGGATTGTTATTGGTCCTAAATGCACATTTCATGACAATTGCTTGGCTCTACTTGAGGCCTATAATTAAGGATTCCCCCTTCCAATCAAGGGTTTGAATTGTTGAATTGTTTACCATGTATGCAATATAATTGAAAATTGAATTAAGTGTCTTACATGCCATATAATCCTTCAATTGAGGTTGTTTTTTCCCGTAATCTGTTTATATCCAGCACTTAATAGATAAGCATTGAAAAGTGTGAAGAGGAAGCAACTACAAGCACACGCATAACATACAGCTGGGAAAAAAAAATTAACAGGCGACAAACACCTACCATTTACACTCATAAAAGTCTTATTTATTTGTCGCTTGCTAAATGCTTTTGATTCTAGTTTGCAACTATCTTGTGGTAACCTTCATGTGAAAGACATGAGTACACATTAAACATGATTTTAAAGTATTTAGTTAATCTTAAATTGCGTAACGATTGTACTTAACCTTTTTTTTATTTTAAGTAAAAATGAAAGATATATCACCAATGTTAAAATCAAAGATAGATTTTTTTACTCCTTATGGCATGCTTAACTCATCAATGAAAGAAGTGATGTTTTTTGGAACCAATTAATTGTAACATGCAACAAATTGTATAATATCTTTAATTTATATTTGGAATTTCAATTTTTGGACAATTTTAGTCTACAACCTATCTCACACCAGGATCTTTGTTTCCACCATATCCAATTAATTAGTTAAACTACATAATCATGTAGTATTGCTATACAATTGTAGTATTGTAGTATTGCTATACAATTGTAGAGAAAGTCGGATAATGAATACATGATTTGATCCTAGGTCTTGAATACCACCTTATAAGTCTTAACAGTTAGGTTTTGCTTCTTTTCACAAAAACTTCACAAAAATATAGGTAAAATTATAAACAATTTCAATTATAACTGATTTTTGAACCAATTTTTGTATAAGTTTAACTTTATGAAGCAAGCATGATATTACATAAATGAACAAGTATTCCCACTCCTCAGTACACATTAATTGAAACTATTTGATACAAAAGCAAAGAAAAGAAAAAATTTATTTGCTGCTGTTATATTATCAGCCAAAATCTACAAAAGAGAAACAGATTTGTCTTTCCATTGTCATAACTAACAATCCATTGGAGTATAATCATCGCTTCATCGGTTCCACAACGATGATTCTTCCCATCATATATGTACTTTTACTCAGCAACATCCCCAAAAATGATGCTGCAATACTGCAAAAGAATTGTTTCAAGTGCAAATTGATTGTTGTTGATTGTATACTATGTTATTCCCAACTGCATTAGCAGCAATATGTTGTCGATTTCTCCTACGTTTTGAGACAACAACGAACCCTTCTCCATCCCCAACTTTGTTTGCAAATTTAGCATTGATCTTCTCGGGATCATTTGATCTTACAACCCCATCTGCCTTCTCTTCACTTCCTTGGAAAATCTTGATAATTGCACTGTCATTTGCTATAGCTTCTGAAGAATTCTGCCAGTTTCCTGACTTCTTTACAGTCCTAGCAGACTCGCTTGAACGATCTGATGAACTCTTCTGCACTGACTTTACAATGAAGCTGAGTAGAATTTGCCTTGCTAACTCTGCCTTTTCAGCCTCAGAAGTACTTTTCTTTGATCGATCATCTTTCGATACTTCTTTTCCATCAATTTCTCCTGCATCCTTTACCACATCAGGAGATGGAGGTGCATCAGCTGCCAATTTCTGAGGTACAAATTCAGGAGCATCAGGATTCATGACTGTTGCACCACCTTGTTTAGCTGGCACAAAATGGTTTGTCCTGTAATACAAAGGTGACCTTGGACCACATGCAACTCTAGCAGAAATAGGAGGGAACTCGTAAAAATTAGTTGCTCCAAGGGTTGTTGGATTAAAGGGTGGCGCCAAAGCAGAGAGTTTTGACCCTTTTGTTTCCAAGGCTGCCTTTTCTTGACTATCCAAACACGGCGTTTCATCATTTTCAGGAGCTACCATCGATTCACCTTGTGGAGAAGAATTTGTAATATCATCTGAAGCTTTACTTTCTTCTTCATGAACAAGATTCACATCATCTGCATCATCGCCTTTTCTAACATCTTCAGAAATTTCAGGAATTTTCTGGTTTTCTTCTGCATTAGCTGTTTCTTCATTCTGCTGCACAGGCTTGAAAATAGTTCCTGGGGGTGACATAGCAACTTCTTTGTAGGAAATTGCCTTCGAAGCTAAAGCAGTCACGGTTTTCTTCGATTGAACCTGAGTTCTTGATTTCTTTGGTGGAGAAGACTCCTTCAAGTTCACGGTATGATTCATCACTCTCTGCTCTCTTGGCATGACTCCAGATACATGGCCATTTTCTTTAGCCTTTGAAGATACAGAGTGATTGACTTTTACTTTCAGATGATTAGGCCGTCTTTTACGGAACTTGGTCTCATTAGCATTACCAGAACGCACTTTCGTGCTGGCTTCTTGCCACCCCTCATCTGAACTTGTATCAACAGCCTCGCCAAAGACAACCTGCTCACCAATAGTAACATCGCTATCATTTGATTCTTCAGGAATTTGTTCTTCTGCTTCTTCCTTAATAACAGTTCTTTCTTCCACAACAACAGTATCATTTATTATGTCATGATCTTCAGGTGCTGAGCCATTTGACACTTGACCCTGCTCCTGACCCTGAATGTTTTCAGCAACCTGCAATATCTAATAAAACCGTATAAACATGTTATACAAACTTGCCCAAGTTAATTAGTAACAGACATCTAAAAATGCACAAATGCACATAGTTATAACAATGGTTTATGTAGTATATATATACCTTTGAACGCCTATGTTTCTTCTGAGCATCTCCACCCTTAGGGTCATGATCAGGACTAATAAAATCGAGGAGATCCGATACACTGTCAAAAAGAACAGCGAAATCAGTTACCGACACGTTTGTAATCCTGTAAGACATCTAAATTGCATAGAAATCATATTCAATTTGCTTAATTGAAGACTTTTACTACAACAGTTTGCCCATGTTATCCTTTTTATTTTTGTTTTCTTATCATTTTATTCTTTCTTAGACTTTATTGTTTATTTACTGAGAAGTTATAGAGGTTTATATTCCAGCCTGAAGCATTGTTATATAATTATCATATCACTGCATTAAGTTAGGCTTACTGCAGTTAGCATCATGATTACCTTACAATTACCATTTGCATTACTTCCAACTACAACAACTCAGGCAAACATTTTTAGTACCTAAGATGCCCTTTGCTAGCAATGGATGCATCCGGTTTTGGTGTTCCTGTCCTTGCTAGTTCCTGCTGTTCGATTACCTTAGATTCAAAATATTCCAGCCACGCTGCTGCATCCTATAAAATCAAAAAACTTCATAGGATGAGTCTTGAGACCTTTTATTGATCAAACTCTTAACAAAAATACAAACTGACGAAATGTCAACTATGAGACCACCAATTACCTGTGTACGAAGGTCTTCAGCTCCAAGCTTGGCTTGAAGAATTTTGAGCGTAGTTTGCTCATGCTGAACACTGAGTGAGTAGGCCTCCATTAATGAAAGTGCAATCGCTATGGCATGATAACTGGCAGCAGTCTGAGAGCAACAATCAAAGAAGCAAAAAATTACTTGATACAAAATCCAATGGTATCACTGTCAAGAAAAAAAAGTTCATACATGGGATAGAAAAGTTCAATTCGTGACAAAAACAAGCCAGAGTCCAACAGCAAAAGCAAAAAGATAGGATAGTGTTAAAAAAAACCTGGATATGATCAGCTCCTAAGAGCCTCTTGTTGCATTTCAAGGCTTCATGGAGATAGCGGAGAGCAAAGTTGACATTCCCCATCCCCTCTTCCATCATGGCTACGTTTATATAAGTTGCAGCACTATTTGGGTGCGATAGTCCACACGTAAAGTGGAGCAAAAATAAAGCACGGTTGACATACCTGGCAATAGGATGTCAAATTTAATGTAAGAAGAGTGAATAGAGGGATGAATATCTAGCAGAGCATGCAAATTAGTGAAAAGCAAGTTGGTGAATAAATTAAACATACTTGAGTGCTAATTCGATGTGTTGGAGACGATAATAAAATACTGATAGATCCCCATAACTCTTCATAGTATCAGGATGATCAGGACCAAGTTCCCTTTCATTGATATCTAATGCCTTTTGCTGATAAATGGTAGCCTGAAAATGGGGAGAAAAAAAAAATCACTTCAGCCCTATCATCCATGTAACGACAATATCCAAGCTAAAAACATCTGAAGTTAGCATACAAGAACCCAACTTCTATGGTAGGCAAACATTGTTCATTGAAGATGGCATTACTTAAACAGAATGATCAGTTGTCACATCAGCGAAATATATAAGACAGAAGGATTTATATGAATTGTTTTACAAACCAGCTATTGTAACAATACATTACCTGATTGAAATCTCCTGTGTGGTATAAGACTACAGCAAGAAGACTATAAGCACCTGCAGTTGTTCGATGATAGGGACCACATACAGCAATGATCTTTGCTAGAGCCTTCAAATTTAACACAAATAAAGGAAATTTAGAATATCTTTTGTAATCCAAGGACAGCACAAACAATTAGTTGTAACACATCTACACTAAACAGTTTGTAGCAAGTTGACTCTAAACACATACCTTTGTTCCATAAGTAACAGCGTCTTCTAGCTTCCCCTTGTCTAGAGCTACCTTGGAAGATTCCAACAGAGTTCGGCCATCTGCAGAGGAGCATATCACATGCTGCAGAGTATAATTACAAGAATTAGTCCACCAGGAGAGGGAAAAAAAAAGGACAAATGAAAACAAAAATAAAGGGAAATTAAGAAAGTTATTTACCTTGCATACAGGAACCATGCTGATAATATCCTCTTTCCTAAAAGGGTGTGGAGCATCGACATCATAGTCTCTTGGAACCAACTCAAAACCAACCTAGAAAGGATAGCAGGATTAATACAGTGCTATGAATAAGGATATAAAGGTCCAAGGAGCACAAAATCACTATCAAAGAAAAAAGAACCTTGTGGCAGAGGCCTCGAAGAATTGACAACTTCCTTAAGTGAGGAAATTCATCATTGAGCTTCCACCCAAACCGGCTTAAGAGGAAAGCCCTTAACCACCTAACTTTAAGCTCATACTCTTCAAAGTCGGCATTGTCACTATTATTAGTAGAAGTGGACCCAAAGAGGACATTCAAAGATGTTGCAATTGCTGCTGGTATTTGTGACACATCATCAACAGAAGCAACAGAAGCTTTCACAACATACTTGAAAGCCCGGGTGACCATTTCATGGACACATAGGGATTGTATGTGAGGAAGTTTCTCAGCTAACTCGACCTGAATCACATAAGAAAAACATATCTTGATTAATCAAATTAGGAAAAAGATCATCACCTAGCCCCAAAAAATGGAAGGGGCAACTAAAGACAGTTAAGAATATGAAAAGCACAAGAAGGAAAAACAAGCTATTAAGACACTTCTAGTAATTTGACAATTTTGACTAGTATTTAAACAGTTTGAATAAAATGATTTAAACAGTTTCCTCACCACACGACCCAAAGAGCTCATCTTCAGTCCCCTGAGATGCATGAAATCTGTAAGTGTACGTCCATCAACAGGAGAAAGTTCAAGAGAAGCAAAATCTGTCACCTGAGATCATTTAAAATGTTTGTGTTAGACAACGGTACATACAAAGAAAATCAAATACAGCTAAATAGTTGGCGATTAATTACCAGCTTTGGTAAAGCAACTTCATCATAATAGGTGTGAATCATACTGATAAGTTCATCTATAGTCTGTGACAGAAAACAAAGATGATTTAATCAGCTAAAGAAATTCCATCAATTCAAAGGGATATATATATCTAGTTAGGAAAGCTTAGAAACCTTAAGATGAAGACCAGTTCCTGATTCTTTCAAGCGTAAGAAAGCTTCTTCAGAGAGTAGCTTTTCCAGCTCAGAAACTTCGGTATCTTTGCAGAAGCCATTGGTTTCAGGGCCAGAAACTTGAGGTTCTTTCTCCTCTTGTCCATCTGAAGAGTCCACACTATTCGGCTTTTTCTCTCTTTTCTTTAGCGATTTGAATTCTTTTCCCAAACCTTTAACAGAAGCTTCACTACTCTTCTCATTGCCAGCTTCCTTAGGATTTTTTTCACTTTCCTGCTTCTGCAAATGCTGTACCCAACACGAACCAAGTTCCCATCTAATGCCCGCTTCAGCCTCCACAGGTTTTTCCTCCCCTTCCAATTTGACTAAACTATCATTAAGTATCTTTATGACTTGAGATCTAGGATTTTCTAGTTCATCAGATTGTGCCACGGGAGATGTGCTTTCTCCAGAGAGTTCGGCGTTAATTGGCTTATGTAGGGGCATCCTTAAGCTGCAAACATATATAAAATGCAGAAATATGGGGCATATAAGTACGTATACCAGTAGACATACATTCATTCGAAAAATCAGTGTTACATATACAATATTAGGATTTCTGGAAAAAATGTCATACTTTCTAAAACAACAGTGATTAAAGCTAATTAAAGGAGTAATAAGGAATTTAGCATAATTAAAGCGTATACTAACCTGTAAACATTGAGGGCATTAGCTCCTCCATCAGGCTGATCTTCAACTTCAACATCATGGTGTTCAAAATTCTTCTTGACATTTCCAAGAACTTTGACAGTCGCAGTGTACCCACAGTACCTTAAAGTGACAGTTCCAAGTGAAGAAATATCCTGAAAAAAAAAAAGACGTTCACTACTTCATTAACAAACCTTCACAAGTACATCAATTGAAGCTACATATTGTTTAGAAATAAAACTCACATGAACAGTCACATTTTCATCTGCAGTCAACCCTTTGATCAAATTTCTCTGAACAACTCCTCTAGCAGAAGTTTCAGACTCCTCACAGAAGAGAGACTTGTCATCCGGCTTCAAGTTAGCATCAGCTAAGTCACGCTTAACCACAATAAACAGGTCACCCACACGGCTTTCATGGGAATCTCTTCCATAGGAGTCTGATTCAATCAAATGGCGAATAGTATCTACAGCTTTGAAGATTGACACGTCGACAAATAAACTGTGAAGCAAGAAAGCCTTTCGATCACGTATCACTCTCTCCTCTTCAGTTTTGCAAGGCAAACTAGCCAACGTAGCAAACTCTGTAGCCCAAGGCCGAAGATCATGCTCACCATTTCTTCCTTGACCTCCACCATTTCCACCCCAATTCTCATCCTCAGTTGGCAGGGGCGAGAAGTTTGATGGAGATTCGGCAAGCGAAGGTGGGGTAAGCCAACAATTTGCACGGAATCCATAAGGTAGATTGCCAAACTGAGATTTCACATTGTTTCATGAGTTCAATTTCCTTGCATAACATGTACGAAGTATAAGTAAATAGGTTCAAGACAGACACATTCTGCGAGCATTACCTTATTGTGTTCCACAAACGCTTTGATAAGTGCATCATATGCCTATGAAGTAAAACAAGAACACAAATTTTTCGCTTAAGTTAGAATTAAGAATTTAAGATACATACAACTACATAATTTTTAGATAACTTAGTCCTCAAGTATACTCACATTAGCAAATGCTTGGCTGTGTTGATGCAGGAGATCCACTAAGGAGTGAGATTGTACTAACTGCTTGCCCAAAGTGTAGAAGCCTTTTTTGGATGCAACGACTTGTATTATCTTCCCATTGCAAATCTTGATCTATATGTAACTGCATTAGTAAACTACTCACAACTAGAACCACTACAACAGCATTACAATAACATGACAATTGTTTGCATTTTAAACCATTAATCTTCAACTCGAAATCTAGAATTACTTGTAAGCTGAAAACAACTATAGTTTGTAGTCAAGATTATATTGTTCAATTCCAATATGTAAATTCAGACATTATTCTTTGAAAACATACATCTACAACTCCATTCTTTCTAATTTTGGACAACATTGTTAATTTTAAATTTGACCATCTAGCTTATTCTTAATTAGAAAGAAAATTTATTCACTTAATCAAACATTACCCAGTATTTTTTTTTCCGGATCCTTCAAAATCTGTACAGGTCCAATAGCACAAGCATACACTTTAATAGGTATAGAGTTTGAGGATCCATTTGGTTCACTTACCTTGGACATTTCGAAAATATAATTGATAACACAAAATTATAATACTACCACCGTTAACTTTTAGTTGTAACTTTAGAATATTTTATAGTATCTCAAAAATAATACCCCAAAATTACAACTAAAAGTTAACGAAAGTAGAACTACATATTTTCTAACTTCATTGGGTCATCATTAGTAAGATTTCCTGGTGGGTAAATCTAGCATTTTCCAGTCACTTTGTATTTGATTTACTTAATTTTGGGTCACTCAATAGTGTCATATAATTTTTTTTTTTTTATAAAACTAGACACTTCATTTTTCCATTAGAAAACCAAAGTATAAATGCGTTACCTGACCCCCATCAATATGACAATACACTTATTGTGTCAAAATTAAGGTCAATAGGTCATAATCATGCACTAGAAAATCCAATATCTATTCAAAATGTGCACTGTACATAACTGATTAACTATATGTCCATTTTAAAATGTGTAACACACCAGCACATGAAAAGGAATATAAAATTGACTATACAGAAAAACAGATATATACCTGTAATTCAAAATAGTCCCCATCACGTTTATCTTCCAACTTTCTTTCACACCTCTTAATACCTGTAAATCAACCGTCTCATTAGTATATGAAAATAACATGGAAAAAAAAACATATTAGAATATAAACAAAATTTGTGACTATATAACAATAATTTAATTGCAAAAACTTAACATTACATCAAAGAAGGCAAACAAACCACATGTAGAGTGTACGTAGTGTCTTACTCAATAATCAATACCTTATCAACTTGTAAAGTTTAAAATTATTACATGCATTTGAGTGTATCTAAAATTAAGTGTGTTCAATGATATAAAAATTATGTGTATTAATCATTTCATTTGTTTTAAAAGTTTTCAAAAGAGCAAAATATACTTTTGTCCAAATGCATAATACAAGTTCTCCTTTTAACTTCAACAAGTAAGCATATAATTCTTTGATTAAAACAAGAAGTCAATATTTTATGGTGAATTCCAAGCCACCTAATTTTGGAAACAACAAAAAAAAAATATGTGACTCAAAATAGATCACACTAGAATACAACACCAACCACACTATGACAAAAATCACAAAAGTTCCAACCATGCAATTTGGCCAATCATGACTCATGCCTTAGAAAGTTAGAATTATTATTTATTTTTTTTATAAAATAAAAAAAGTCAAGTGAGGAAGAAAGAGTAGGACCCACCAAGAAGAGGAGGAGAGAGGTGAGAGAAAGAGAAAAACTCAAAAAATTCGGAGAGTTTAGGTGTTGGATGAAGAGCAGCCATGTCATTTTCTTCTGAGATAACAGAAATGGACGGTCCATTTTGAATTCTGAGCTCTTCATTTGATGGAGGTGGTCCCACTTGTATTGGACTGTGGGCCTTACTCTTTTTCGATTTGTGGTCGGATGATGTGGGCCGCTGTCCTTTGGGCTTGTTAAACCAACTTGTACATGCCACAATGTCTAGTAGCCTCCTCACGTGGGCCATTGCTTCGGCCTTGTTATTATATTCATCTGTAAAAAAAAAAAAAAAAATTGCATAAATTTAGCCAAATTGTTACTGTAGTAACTAGCCACAATGTAGGCTATGTAGCTGTACACTGTACGAGAAGCGAAAGTATCAATCAAATGAATGTTATATCCCGTACAACAACAACAATAAGAAGGATACTCCGAATTTAATATAGCCACGTTGCCCACGTACCTTAAGATTGTGCACGTCAACTAAATTAATTGGTTTAATTTCAACGTAATTAGGGAATTAATCTATAATAAAGGTTGATGGTACGGAGTGTATATTTTAGTCACATTCTTAATTTCATCATCGAGGTTGTTTGATATTATACACTCTCTATAAAACTGTTTATTAATCTTTCAATAGTCTAAATTTATACTCGTATTACAACGTACAATTTTGAAATATTTTACCATGTATTAGAATTGCAAAGGTACGGATGTAAACATAATTCAATCTCTAATTTAAAATTATACACTTCCAACTGAATTAGTCAGAGTAACTGATATACACATATGCGGCACATTTCATGTACCATTAGATTCCCCATGATTGCATAATTGTACCTAAGTACCTAACTACAAGTAAAAGACAAGAATATACACTACTATAGTCACTAATAAGTGCATGAAGTTGCACCTTTTATTGGTATATTTAATATCAAAAATGATAAAATTGTGCATGATACATACATAAAATGGTAAGCATCATGGACTCATGGTTATTGCCTGCACGATTACATGGTACTATGGTAGGTGAGTTGGTAATATTTTATAATTTAATTTTACTTTAATTATATATTTTTATACATTATACAATATATTCTTCATTCCCTTAGATACCATAAAAAACACAGATTTGATTTTATATTATAGTGATCAATGATTTGATATTTGTAGTCCAACTTTTGACTGAATGCAACAAACAAATAAACAACACATTTTTTTAAGCTTTTTTTTGCAATTTTACCAATATAACAATCCTAGAAATTTGTAACATAAAACACTATAATTTTCAACATCTTATCACTTATTAAAGTATTATATAACCACACAATTTTAGATTGTCTTATCACTTTCTGTACAAATATTCATTGCGATATTTAAAATATTTTCTTCATGTTGCGTATTGGCCCAAATTTATAACCTCATTATTTTGGTGGAGTATTGTGTATATTCTAGAGGCTTTCGGAATAATCAAGGAAGGTCATTACTTGTTCTTGATTTTTGTAGAATAATATCCTAATTAGATGTTCTGGAGCATTATTGACATTGTAAGGTATTAGAATATAATACATGATTCGTGAATTTTCTTGAACATTATAGATACAAGAATGATGGAGCAATTTTATAGAATAATCCGGTCATTTCGTCCAAGCTCCATCTACACTTATAAATATAGGTCATGGGCATTTCGTAAGACAACACAACACAACACAAGAAGTCATACCGTACACAAGCCTATATTCTACACTTCTTTGTACTATTTAACTTTTTTACGAATTCACTATTCCAACTTAGTAATACTCCTTTGTGAGTTTCTATTTTGAGAGTTATGTTGTAATATTCACCCTTTCAAGAGTTACTGTACTCTCCTATTTTCAAATACTAAAATAAAAGTGCTTGTCGTTACATAAAATTATGTATTCAATTTTATCATTTATCTTGTCAATTATCAATTTAATTTATATTTCTCAATCAAACACATTGTCACACCTTGTTTTTACATGCATTGCCCCTTATCCCTTATTGTTTACTATTTTTGAGGTTAATTATTTCCTTGGCGTTTAAGTGTCTAACAATTGCTAATTCTATATAAGTATGAGGGGAACCTACATAGTATTATAATTTATCAAAATAAAATACAACATTTGATTAATTTATTTTATATTAAAGTTGTCCACATTATATATTTATCACGTAATAATATACTCATTATCATACACTGTCAACTACAAACTAAATAAATTATTATGCCCTACTTTTTTATTTAACTTTATATACTTTGCTTTCCATTGTTTTTTGAAGTTAAAAATAACCAAAAATCAAACGAAAATATGGTTACAAATAACCGCACAGATTTGACTACTTCCTAAACTATGTAATTTTTATAAATAGTTTATTTATGAGATTGATTATGATTGCATAATTGTTATCAAGTATATCAACGTTTTTTTTAAGTAAATATTTATTAAAAAAGTATTGGTCATATTTCATGTCATTTATAAAAAATTAAGAATCCCACGTGGAACACGAAATAATCAATTTTGCATCAACAACTTCAATTGAATTTGAAACAATTACACAGTTCAACCATACCTTCAACCATCTTCAATACACATGGTTTCAGAGATGTAATTTCAACTTTGTCATTCAATTTTTGCCCTCTTACCTGAAAACCATATTTAACAGCAATTAAATCCCAAAAACTACCTAATTATCACAAATTTAGCAGCAATGATTAAATTCCATAATATGAATAAAATACAAAAATATAAGCAATAAAAATGGTAATTTACACTCACCTCATGTGAAAAAGAGTAATTGGTAATATGGCATGTCTCTACATTTGAAGCTAGTAACCTTCTCACATCTAATATCTTATCAGTAGATATCCCCTTCATTCACATTCCAAAAAAATACACATATCAAAAAATTTGTATGTAGGCAAAAACAATCCCATTTCAAAATCATCGAATCGAATCGAATTACTAGTTCAAATTACACTATCGACGTGTCAATTATTTCCAAACATTGATATATACCTTGAGAGTAACTTGTGAGTCATATGGGGTAATGACAATAATGTCAATAACACTAGGAACAACTGCAAACCCACCATTAAAGAATCAAAACCCAATCAATATAATAAGACGAACATAATAAAAACATCAAGAAATGATGTAAAAAATAATAGATAATTAATTAATCAACCTTTTTCCTCTTTCTTCTTCTTCTCGGATTTTGGTTTGTGCCCTTTACTGCGACCTGATTTTGGGGCCATTTTTCTTTCTTCCTTTTTTATTTTTGTGAAATAATATTTTTGGGTTTGGGAAGAAAGAATTAATGGGTGGCAAAAACAGAGTAGCAGAGAATGAAGAAAAAGAGGGGAAAATAAAGAAGATAGGAAGATAAGGGGGGGGGGGGGGGGTTTGGGTTTTACCAGTATTGGAGATTTTAGAGAAATCCTGACCTCTCCTTATTGCTTAACTTATAATTGTCTTTTTCCCTTTTTTTTTCTTTTTTTTTTTTTTTGAATTTCTCTCTCTTCTTCCCCACTCTCTATGTGAGATGCATGTGATGTGCTGTAATTTATGGGCGAAAATGCTAAAGGTCGTAAATTGTGACTGTAAATGAAATTGTATGAGTGTGTATATAGTGTGGATGGATGAATGAATGGATGGTGATAGAGTGGGTGAATACGATTGGGTAAGAAATTGTATGAGTATTACGTGGAATTGGTGACTTAGCACGTTAATATGATAGGATGACCGGTAAGGAAATATTAATAATGAAATATACGAAATGTATTATCAATTTGAAAATTAGTGATACTTACCCTAAATAGAAGATTATTTTAAATTTCAAAAAAGGGTAGTTGTGATTTTTTTGAATTTTTAATACTACCTCCGTTTTTTTTTATGTACAACTATTGTCATTTAAGTCCGTTCACTATTATGTGCAACTTTCTTTTTTCTATCTATTTTGGGTAAACAAAAACCCTAAAAATTACAAATTTTCCCTTACTTAAAAATTCAGATTTTCTTAATGTTACCCTTTTTTATTTAAACACAATAACTTTTTTGTCTAATCTAAAATAATTAACCTAATTTTACCCACCCATTTACTCATCTCTCTACCCACCAGCCACCACCCATTCACCATCTTCATCTTTGCTCTTCATCGCTTTCACCTTCATCCTCATCGTCTTCATCTCTTTCACCCTCACCTTTCATCTCTTTCACCCTCCTCCTTCAAAAGTCACGACCACCGTCTTCTCTTGTCTCCATTCTCTCATTCCTTGTTTATTCTCACTTTCTCTCTCCTCCCCTATTTTTCTCTCTCCTCATAACATCCATGGACACCCCTCCAAAATTGGGATCTACTCGCCGTTGTCAGAAGCTGCTGCTCCACCACCACCACTACAACCACCACCACGGCAGATCTAGAACCTTCTCCATCAATTCCGTCGCCTCCTCCGTCGTCGTCGTCTTCTTCGCAATTTACCCTTCCTCCTAAATTACCTCAGCAGCAACAACAACAACCGCCTAAGCAACAACAACAACCTCCTCGGCTTTATTTGGCGTCTCCGGTATCTTCGCCTTCTTCAGTCATCACTAGAAGATCTTTTGGAATTGTTGAATAACAACAACATCAACAACAAACGCAGCTTCGAGGATTAATTAAGCCTTCTCATGTCATTTTTGGAACTTCTTCTCCTTCTATTGCCGGAAATAATGCTTCGCAAACTCCAAGAACTAAGAAAAGGTTGGTTTTGTTTGGATTAATTTTTCATATGAATTTGTAGATTGGTGTCAATTTTTATGGGTTTTGTTTTGATTTTTGTAATACAGGAAGAATATGAGGGGTGTGGTGGTCTGGTGGAGGTGGTTAGGGGTGGTGGTGAAGGGGTATGTTAGATTTTTGGGTTTTTTGGTTAGGGAGGGGGCTGCCGGAAAAAGGAGGGAAAGACGTGAGGGTGGTGGTGGTTTCGGGGGGTTGGTTGTGGTGGTTTCGTGGGGGTGGTAGTGGTGGTGGAGAAGCCGGCGGTGGTTTTGGTGAAGGCGGCGGTGGTGGTGGCTGGGTATGGTGGTGGCAGTGGGTGGTTTGATTAATTAACCAAACATTCTCTCTCCACCTTAATTACATATTCCTATAATATATTAATCAGCATTATACTATCTTAATCTTTGCCCTTCAATCTTTTGCCTCGTGAACCGCAACTTGCCCCAAAGTTGCACATAAAAAAAAAACGGAGGTAGTATTAGGAAATTGACGATTTAAATTGTAATTGACGTTATAGTCTCACTAGTTGAGGTAAAATTAATTTTAGGAAATTGATGATTTATATTGAAATTTAAAAGTGTTAAGTTGAGGTAAAATAAATTATTTTTATGATCATTATTATAAGGATAAGCACGTAAATTTACATTATTTTGCGGGCGATAATTAGATATTCGAGGGCGATGTTTAGCTTTTCATTCTCACTACCTCAAACTTTTGTGAGTTCCTTTTTCGAAAAAATGTATATTATTAATGTTTTTTTTTTCTTCACACTTTCCATCTTGCACGGTATAATTTTATGTTTATATACTTTACAAATTAAAAAATATGAGTAAGTTCAAAAAAATTAAATTTGTTATGAAATATCGTGTGGATGACCATTAGCTCTTTATATCATTCCGGAATATTCTAAATATATGGTTTATTCTTATCTAAACATATGTGTGGATGTCCATCTTGTATCACTCTAGAACTTTCTAGAGTTTAGGGTTTATTATTCTCCAAGCAAACTCTATCAATTATTGTACTATATATATATATGTATACCTTCATCACATGAAATGCAAGTAGAATACACATTTCAATTCCCTCTCAATCTCTTATATTTCTCCTTATTTTACAACAAAATTAATATATAGGTTTTTGTAAATAAATAAACACATAGGTTTTGTTGTGTTATGATTGAATTGAATTATAACTAGTCATTTGACTTTTTGCTAAATTGAAAAAATAACAACTTTCCGTTGGTTGCCTTTTGCACATCACTCTATAATTTAGCAAAAAAATACGTTCAATATTTGCTCTACAAACTAGTAAGGAGTAAGTAGTAACAAGCCCTATAACTAAAATATAGTATATTCTCATTTGCTAAAAGCGTGAACAGATAGACAACATTAATTGAAAGTGGAAATTTTAGAGTGAAACTAATATTAATTACACCGAACGACGCGTGATTTTGTCATACATTTCTTACTTAATACTATTTCAACTAATATAATTATTCTTTATCTAGCGCCCCGGGATGCTTGTTAACATTAATTTCTGAAAATTTTAAGGAAATCTAGGTAAGTCAATCAATCACTCTACACTTTGATTTGTTTTCAAAGTTGTATAAACGATGTCATATGGTTGGGAAGACTTTGCCATGGTACAGCATATATGATACCAATCACTCTCGATATTATAAACGAAAAACTAGTCAAAGTAATCCACAAGTAGCTACTCCATAACAAATTAACAAACTAATAATCTAACTACTTAGAATTTTATAATGTAGTGTATATATTCTATAGGATCACACCAATCGCAGGTCGATAATGGATGGACCAACAAACCATCAATTAAAATAAATATTGGACAAAACAATATATATATATATATATATATATATATATATATATATAAGAAACTTTTTTTTTTTTGTTTTTTTAAAAATCTATTACTCGTATATTGGACAAACATATTGACATTACCTAATAAGAATCTTGTCCATTAAAACTTCATAATGAGATGAATCTAACAAGATCTATTTTAATAATGTTTTTCTTTATAGATTAGTATTAAAATGCGGTCTAAGTTTAGTCAGATTATTAAATCAAATCGAGTCAGATATCATAATAAATTTCAAATCAAACCTTATGGAAATCAGACTTGCTTTAGCTTAATTTTAGTTCAATTCAGTTCAGCTCCAATCAATTTAGTTCAACTCTTAATTTCTTTCTCTCATAAAATATTCATTTCAACTCTATTCAGTTCAGTTTAGCTCCAATCAGCTTAATTCAGTTCATTTCAACTCAATTCAATAAATATGAACAGATCCTTAATCTCCTAGTCTCGGATTAAGAGAACAAGTTTTTTTTAACTTAGGGCCTGTTTTTTATATAATGACTGAACTGAGCTAAACTGAACTGAAATGAATATTTTATGTGAGAAGAAAATTAGAAGTTGAAATAAAATGAACTGAAAATAAACCTACCAGAACAGCTGAACAAGTTGTTAGTTTTCCTTCCCTTTCTCCGTGGCATTATATACCAAAACGGCAAAACCAGACCTAAAAAAGCGCGCGAAATATTCTCTCTCCTAAACAAACTAATCCGCCATTTTCTCTCTCCTCCGCCATGCCCGAGCTTCCCGAGGTTGAAGCAGCGAGGTCCGCCGTTGCTGAGCACTGCATAGGTAAGAAAATAGTGAAATCAATTATTGCAGATGATTCCAAGGTTATCAATGGAGTCTCACGTTCCGATTTTGAAGCTGCTCTTCTCAATAAAACCATTGTTGCTGTTCATCGTAAGGGCAAAAACATGTGGCTTCAGCTCGATTCCCCTCCTTTTCCTTCATTCCAATTTGGTAATTCTTCCAAAACCCTAGGTTTACTATCTCTTTATTCTGAATTTTCGTTTCCCTAATTTGTTGTGATTTTAGGGTTTATAAAAATGTTGGAAATTTTTGTGAACTGATTTTAGGGTTTTTGGGATGGTGAAATTGTGCTGTATACGGTGATAAGATTTTGGGGTATTCTCTATTGAATTTGAAATGTTGTATAAAAAGATGGCATTTTATTTTATGCTATAGATATAAAATGTGAGAATTCTGTAATATGCTGATTCCTAGTCCATCATTTCATCTCACTTTAGAGTTAACTCTTTCTTTTATTTTGCAGTCAAAGTTCATCAATTTTCTTAAACTATGTAAAAACTAAAAAGGGGAAAAATAAAATAAAATTAAAGATTGATAGGATTGTTTTAATGGGTTAGTAAAAATTTCAACTTTTAATACATTTTATTAATATGCAATCAAACTATTACTGGAAAAGGCGTGTGTTAAGACTGAAAAAGGGAGGTATTAATGTAAAATGGGATGGAGGTAGTGTTATATAGGGCCTTGTGTAAAAAACGAAGATATGTCTATTTGTAACAGAGGGTGTAACTTCATTTTCCAACTTATATGTATATCTTCACCGTAGATTGAGTGTGTAATATGTCACAGGGATGGCAGGTGCTGTATATATTAAGGGTGTGGCAATTACCAAGTATAAAAGGTATGATAGATAATTGTTAATCAATTGCTGATGTGATTGAATTCATTTTTAATTACAGTATCTGCTTGTTTAAATGATTTGTGTGCATAACACTGTAGATCATTGAGGGTGAATTGCATGTGAAATAATGAAACTTGATCCTCATAGGGAATTTGACCTACTCTGGAGTCTTTGTCTGAAATTTGAGGTTAGAATTAGGCATTAAAGAGACAAAATATTGCCAAGTATGTTAGCTGCCAAAAAGGAAAATCTACTTGAATGGGTAGCTGATTTGTTTATGAAATGTGCTGCTGTGCTGCAGCATGTTAAATCTAGTTTATTTTCTTGTTTACGTATAAAGTAGAATCTCTCTATGAGGCTATAATTATCTTTATAAGTTTATTTAAGGACCTGTAGTACACATTTCTCTGATGTGAAATTTTTACTATTAACATGCTGAAGTTTGAAGGCTGAGATTGGTTTCTGAGAGTAATATATCAAATTCTATGATAATTTATCATAAGTCAACTAATACTCCAATTATCCATCCTCAAAGAGAGTAAGAAAAAACATGAAATCTCTTAAGCTTACACTGGTTTATGTTAACTTCACTTGAAGACATTTAGAGTTTAGATGTACATATATACAAGCTACACCGCATTTTCTGCCAACAAAGTGGGATTTGAAGGAAATAAGGTGAAGCTTTATCAAACCTATATGTATTTCCGACATGTCTGTACCCTATCCTTTGTTGGAGATTTGGAGTTAGTTTGTTGTCGTTGGATACTTTTGTTGTAGATGTTAACAAAATTACAAAAAAAAATAAAAAATGCACTCGTAATTTTAAGGTACTGGTCCATCTTCAAACATCTTTCCTTGCCCTTCATAATTCCTGTCCCATGCAAAACTTTTTACAGTGCAAACCACATTGTTTCAAATTGGATATTTTATCAACTACTCAATGATGTAGATTGGTATTGACCTGATCTTTGGTCTTTCTCTTGAGCAATTGTATAAAATTTGAGGCTCAATGGTCCATCCCATAATGAGAGAGAGAGAGAGATTCAGTGTATCCATTCTGTATTTTTAATGGTTGTTTTCCTTTTGCCTCATATCTCTTCATTTGACATGGTCTTCATTACACATGGTCATATGCTATGTGGCTTATACTTTTTGATGTTGCTTATAAGCATGTCATATGCTGTGTCAAATTTTAACATGGGATATTGTCATGTTTTTCATTGGCTGCAGATCTGCTGTAAATGATGCTGATGAATGGCCCTCAAAATATTCCAAATTTTTCATAGAAGTAAGAATTCTTAATTCAGTGCAACGTTATCTAGGATTTGTTATAGAAAGACTGCCATCATGGTTGTGTTCTACATAGGGTCATGAAATAAGTTTTTCTTGATTATGTCTACTGATGTCAGTGGAGCGGGTCAAGTAGGAGACCCGCCCCATCCCCGCCATGGGTCTCGGTTTGGCGGGTGGTGGGGCGGGGATGGGGATAAAAACCATACCCCCCATGGGTGATGGGGCGGGGGTGGATTTTAAGATGTGCCCGCCCTATCCCCGCCCCGCCCCACTTCGTACCCACCTCATCCCCACTTCATACCCACATCTATATATCTTTGAAAGCAAAATTACATACTTTTATACTATTTTATAAAATAATTACGTGAAATATAATATTAATTATAATATTTGTACGACACTTATATTATAAACAAAAATGTGTGTAATATTAAGAATGTATTATTTCTATTATAATCCGTATTAATTATGTATGATTATGTATTTTAGAGACGGAGATTAGGTGGGTCTTGGGTGGGGGCCGCGGTGGGGATTAGGTGGGGATGGATATCCAAATGGGGGTGGGGTGGGGATGGTTTTGGAGCTGTACCTGCTGGGGCTGGGGCGGGGATGGAGATGAATATTGGACCCGCCGCGGGGATGGGGATGAAAATATTAGGTGGGGTTGAGGATGGGAAGACCAACATCCGCCCTGCCCCGCCCCATTGACATCCCTAATTATGTCCTATCTGATTGGTCATAATTCATCAACTTAACTAGTTTATGGGCATGAGTGGAAACTTACTTTGATTTTTTTTAGGTAATAACATCCCTATCTGTCTAATTGCCCCTTGTTCAAAAACGTAAGTTGATTTGATTTAATACTGTAGGTACTAATGTCCCCTTGTGTAATTGCTCCTGCTTCAAAATTTCAGCACCCAACATTGTTTCTGATATTGCCTGGTGCTGTTGCTGAGCTTCAAATGAATTTATTCTTTATTTGCAGTTAAATGATGGTCTGGAGATTTCTTTCACGGACAAGAGGAGATTTGCTACAGTTCGTTTGCTGGATAATGTATATGAGAATTTCCAAGCATACCATGTTCCTCTTTTCCTTAATCTTAAGTGTAATCTCTAATTATTGTTAAATTGTGATGCAGCCAGCTTCAGTTCCGCCAATATCTGCACTCGGTCCAGATGCTTTATTGGAACCCATGACTGAAGGGGAGTTCATTAAATCCTTGAGCAAAAAGAAAATTGCTATAAAGCCTTTATTGCTTGATCAGGTCAGGATTTTGAAATACATGCAAAATGGCATTAAGTTTTTAGCAACTTTATGTAATTTATGGCTGTTCCTCATTGTCGTTATTTGCTTTGTTGGGGGAGAAAAGGAGAGGGGGGGGGATATTGTGGTATATTATTGCTGGACACGTTATCCAAATTGCTTTCATCACATACTTGTATGTAGTAGATTTAACAACGCTCCATTCAATTTCAGAGTATCCATCTCAGGCTCTCAGCACTCCAATCTGATTGGCACGCCCTTGAAACACTTTGTATAGTAGTATGTTGACATGATAATGGACTCCACATATCAGTCTCCAATCCCATACATGAAAGATAATACTTTGTTTTTCATTTCAAGTTTATGCTCTTCAATCTTCTTTCCCTGGCTGTGTGACTAACTGCATGGAATTTGTGTCCAACTCAATTATACTTTAAACCAGAGCAGTTTAGTTTTTGGTATCAAGTTATGGTGCCTTAATTCTAACATTTATATCCATCAATATACCTCCATTTCTTTACATTGATGCCGAGTTTTGTTTTGCTTCACAGAGTTTTATTTCTGGCATCGGGAATTGGGTTGCAGATGAAGTGCTATATCAAGTGAGTTTTCAACTTGACTTTTGATTGTTAGAGGAATTTGTCTTCCGCATATTCAAGTTGATTGTTCACTTTTCTAACATGGAACTTTGGAAAGCCATACTAGAGAGAGGTAATTGTGAAATTAAGTAAAGAAGAAACATCTAGCATATGTGAAGTATGAACTCTTTAAAGGCTAATTATTCATGTATTCTTCAAGCTAATTGTGGGTATCTCTAAGTATGAAGTTATACCTCAAGTTTCCTTATTAAAGTTCATTCCAAAGAATTAAAACAAAATTCATTTTGCATCTTGCACTCTGTTGAAATTGAAAAGATGGAAATTTTAATCAGCATTCCATGAATATTTATGATGTTTTTATTCTTCATAGGCAAGAATTCATCCTTCACAAAATGCCTCTTCCCTGTCAAAAGAGGAGGGTGCCATACTGCTGAAGAGCATAAAGGAGGTGGGTTGTCTTTTAATACACAGAACTTTTCCTTAAACATTACTATAGTATAACATATCAATTTGAAAGGAAATATAACCAGATTAAAAGGATGCTTAGACCCAACACTTGTAGGTTATACAGCATGCGGTTGAAGTTGATGCTGATTCTCAACACTTTCCTTCTGATTGGTTATTTCATTTTCGTTGGGGTAAAAAACCTGGAAAAGTTAATGGTAAGATTTCTAATAAATTACCATTTCCCGTTTGATTAATAGGTACTTGAGAAGGCTGTTGAGGTTGGGGCTGATAGTAGCCAATATCCAAGTAATTGGATTTTTCATTCACGGGAAAAGAAGCCTGGAAAGGCTTTTGTCGATGGTTAATCTCCTCACTCAGAGAATCTTAAATTTCCTTTTAAAATTGTTTACATACTTATATGTGTTGGGTGAACTGTGTTCTTTTTTTAACACTTCTGAATTGCTGGTACATAATGTGCATTTTCCGTTGCTATTGACAATATATGAAGTGAACCAACTTAATTGAAAATTATTGAATGATGGCATTATGGATGATGCTACGCAATTCAGATTTGCTTTGTTGAGTGTTCATTGATATTGTGACATTATGCATTATTTGAGGCACAAATCCTCTGTTTCATTGCACGGAATGCACGCCCACTGTCAAATAATAGAACACAACTACACAAGTTAATGCACTTACTGGAAAATTGATTTTTTGTGGATGTCAAGCTGCCTTGGTAGAGCTAATAAGAGATTAGCAGGTTAACCTTGTATGCGGATGCTCAACTCAGCCATGAAAGTGACAATTCATAGACTTCTTTGTCCTCTGTAATTGTCATCGAAAATATTTTGGTCGACTCATCATTTCCTGGAACAATTAATTTTAAGGATAATCAAGCATTGCTTAATCTCCTTGCACTGTCTTCATACCCCTTATGAAATACTCAGTAGTTGCATAACAAAATGTGCAAAATGTTGGGACTTGGGAATTATACTAACTGAATGTTTTGAATCTCAACACGATCATACTCTACTGTCCATTTAATTTTACTGTGATTTTATGCGTTGGATGTAGCTGTTGCTTATTAGCTATAGACTACAACTTTTAGCAAAATTGGTGCATGACCTCTAATAATATTTTCCTGGCTTTATGCAGGAAAGAAAATTGACTTCATTACTGTACGTGGAAGGGTATGTCTTATTTCTTAACTTCTTTTGTGCAATTGTACTGCAGCAGAATTAACTCTTTGCATTCTATTGTCAGACTTCAGCTTATGTTCCCGAACTTCAAAAGTTAACTGGAGTGCAAGCCACAGAAGCTCCTGCTAAACCACGTAAACAGGCCTCTAAAAAGAACAAGGACGAAAGCGATGATGATGATGATGCAAATGATGATAATGGGGATGGTAGGGAAGATGAAGTGGAGAATATGAAATTTAAGCAAATGAAGAATAGCAAAAGTGGAAAGCAGCCACCTAGAAGGAAGAAATCTATTAAAAATGATGATGACGATGTTGATAGTGGTGATGATGATGATGATGAGAGTGATGGTAAGACAAAAGGAACTCGTGATGACTCAGCTACTGCAAAGAGGAAACCACAAGGAATGAACGAAAGTCAAGATGCTAACAAGAGCAAGAGATCCAGAGGTGGGGGAAAGAAGGCTACAGCTGAGTCGAAGTCTAGGGAAAGCATTGATTCTGATGGTAGCGATGATGATGTCCATGAGAATATTGATAAGAAACCAACAAAAGCCGGAACCAAAAAGCCCCAGAAGCAGACTAAAAGGAAAGCTAAATAGGGGTAAGCTTTTGGACGGCACAAGAAGTAAACAGATTTTGTACATTATTCCTGCCAAGCTTCAATGAGCATCAATTTTGATAACAGTGCTTCGCGTATTAATTAGTTAGTAGTGTGGTAATTTAATGTCAAGTTAGCTAGCAGTTAGTTGATGCACGTGCTATAGGTATGTTTGATGCTCTCCTGTAATTGTTCAAACATTATGCAGGATATAGACATCATTAGTATTCCAGGCTATTGGAGGGGCTGTATTTTGTCGCGTTAGTGGGATACCATGCTCTGAATTGCCCCTTCTCTGTGAAATAGTAGTAAAAATCATTTCAAGAGACCTAACTTTCCTCCGTTCTTTTAGAAGTGGATAGTAGGAGTTGATGGGTACCGAAGCCTGTCATGGTATCTAGCATGATATGCACGTTTTAATTTTGTTGTATTTGAATGACGGAAGCCAGTTGTTTGGTGCAAAACTGCAAATGCGCAATGAGATTCAGATGGTGACTCTTATGTTGCTTGCAAACTTCTCTTTGGAAAATTAATAGGGAATTTTGAATTTAAAAAAATTTAATTAGTGGCGTCACAATTTTGCCCTCAACATTGATTTCTGATCTATATGATTTTCTTGAAATACTTGGTTTTTCGATGGAATTACAATTTACGATATAAATCAATTAATTATAGTTTTGCAAAATTAAATGAAGGTCTTTTAATAATAAAAAGTAACAATTCTAGCACAAAACAGCAAAAGTATACTACTCGTATGATAATATCATAAATCAATCAATTTGTCGAGATAATTTGATTACTGTTTGAGGGCTGCAAAAATGCTTTATGTTCTCGAGCAAATATTGATCAAGTGCTTAAAAATCAGTGGAGTAACAACCTTTATGTTTATATGTTCATTCCGTTCTTTATATGTTTTTCTCATAAATTATTGTAAGTCCGTCTCACCTAAGAAAGTCGCTAATGCACTTTGTATCTTCAAAGCTTGTCACCTGTTTTATATTAAAACCTCGGAGCATTATTAATTGTTATTCCAAATATGCTTACACAGAGTTCTTCATAATAGATTTTGATTACAGCTACGGCATTAGAAGCCCTTATACAGTTACTTAGGCCATCTAGCAAAGTTCCCTTTTTTTTAAACATACGAGTACTTTTAATTACTCGTTGACATCTATGGGAAACAGACAAACAGCAAGTTCGATCAATAAAGCCAAGCTTAAAGCACTAGAGAAAATTTCTAGGAATTTAAAGGTTTTAAGAGGTTTAGTAATCAAATATGCCAAAAGGAAATTGTTATAAATGGAATTGCACAAATAAAATAGTAAGAACAATGTTACCGAGAATAAGACTGAGTCGCGGACTATGTCGCTCTCTTTAGAACATTCGCGGCACTGCCTCAAACTTGTGCAAGCAGCTCGTACCAAACCGGATGCCCCCAGGATAAAACAGTCTTTCAGAAGTATAAAATACCGGCGGTTTTGCACCGAACCACCGGACAACGGAACACCAGAAAATCAGAAAGAAACTGCTCGACTGTTTTGAGAGGAAGAGAAAATATATTTTGCAAAGTGGTTTTGTGTATTTTTTTCGTGTTTTAAAAAACAAAGCTGGAACCGTCCTTTTATAGGTAAAGATACGTAACAACTTAAGCATGAAAACGGGAGAAAGATTAGCAACGTTTACTGCAATTAGTGTATTCGTTAAGCAAGAATCAAGGCATTAAATCAGTGTAACGGTGCAACGTTTAGCAGTAAAACAGCAACGAGAATCAAGCAATGTAACGGAAAAATTTAAACCAAAACAGTAAAACGTTTTGTAACTGAATATTAATCAAACCGGTAACAAAAATTAAGTTTGTTTAATAACCCAAACCCAAACCCGACCCAGCCCAGCCCGGCTCTGTTCGGTTCGGCGCGCGTGTGATATATGGTTTACCATATAGGTCCTCCCTCTCCACAAAATGTGGGTAGCCCAAGGGCCACACCCCTTTAGCCCACTCTCTATATTATAAAGAGAGTAAAACTCTCATTTCCCACCAATGTGGGACTTTGAGTTTTTTCACAAAATTCACACACTACACACTTGTTGTTCCAACAGAAATTAACACAATATCCAAATAAATGAGTTAAGAGCGATAAAATAATAGAACTATTACAATGTTAATAAATCAAAGAACAAAGATAAAAGTAATAGGGGCATTTATGAGTAAGGACGAAGTAATTTTGACGAAATAATATCAGAAATTATAGTATAAAAGTGTTGTAAATTGTATTAGGTCATATATGAATGAATTCCATTACAATGAATATCCTTTTTATAATGACTTGTAAATTTAATACAGTACATCATCATGGAAGAATCCTTGTTATCTTGGTAATGTTGAAAATATTGATTGAAATTTTCATTTCTTAGGAAATGTTGACATAGTTGATTGATATTTCCTTGATTTGCTCTTTCAATTCTGGGATGTAATCGTGCTTGTTTCCCAAGCATGCATTACGTGACATCGACTGGTCCAAGTTTTGAAGGGAAGTCGTCTTTCTTAGAAAGGCAATCAACTTACTCAGAAAGGTGCAGTTAAGTCCGTAATGTCCGTACTCAGTTGAGACCATTGCGCGAATAATATTTCGTGAATCAAGTCATTTATTTCCTGATTTAGTTTTATTTGATTGATTCAATAGTCTTGATTGATTTCATAATATCTTTAATTTGATTTTTGACTTCTTGATTGGATAAATCAAATCCTTGATTGATGAGCTGTGATTCCATTGATATCTTTGACCATGCATATTTTACTTTTTCAGCTTGTTTTCTTATTATGTATAAATGAAGTCAAATTTTGTATTCTTTAATTGATCCTTTGATTGATTTTTTTTCCCTAGTTTATGAGTTGCTGGAATCCGCTCCCAACACACAAGAACCTCCTTCCTTACCAGATCATGTTTTGGCTCAAATTCTAAGCAGTCACCATTTACCCAAAATTTCAAGTCAACCAAATCACTTTAAAATCGCCCTTTCTTAAATTGACTGATATAATTTGGTATGGCTTTTATGAAATTTAAGGTAACTAAGCCGATATGTACATAACAAATTTACAAATTTCGGTGATCTGAAATGTGCTAACTGTATCATGTTCCACAATAGCTGTCTACTATACCTTTGGGGTCCAAATTTCAGGGCTCCTGGCAATATTAAAGTGATCACAACATTTTGTGTAACAGAAAGTTAGCTCTATTTTTGGTAAACAGCTTAAAACTGGTTCTTTTAATTACACCCTTGAACAGAATGTGCAGTAATACTGTATAATAATACATCATACATCTGACTCCTATTCTTCCATAAGAACTAGTTGGAGCCTGTGGCACTGGGTGGTGATTTTGTTTAATTTCTTTAAACCGACACGGACAACAACCCAGTTCAAATGATTGCGAAAGAAAAGTTCATATCGAAGCATGTATTTTGTCTGCCACATCGGTTCCTTTCTTACTGTTACACATGCCCTCGGCGCCTTGGCTACTATCCTTTGATCAGCCCATTCAAAGATTCTCAGGCTAGATGTATCTCTTTGATGACTTCATAAGAACATTCTCAAAGCATCAACAACTTTTTCAGGCCTGTACGCATTACATCTATCAGCTTTAAACAAAGGCAATCTTCAAGTTAGGAATACTACTTCTAGTTATGTTGCATGTTTGAACAGAGGAATACTTACCAGTCTTCCTGTGGCATATGACCAGCTCCTTCTATTAATTTAAGCTTCACAACTGATGGATTACCCTTTTGAAATTCTTCTGCAATTGATTGGGGAAGATATTTGTCTGATATACCCCATGCTAACAGTATAGGTTTATCCCAGCTGGAAAAACAATTATGCATATTAGCAATCTTATAACTGCACTTTCCTGATTCAATCTGCTAGCTATTAGAATTGTCTTTAAAGCTAGTTAACTTGAAACAGTACCTTCCAGATGCAAACCCTGTAGCTATCTGAGTTGCTACCTCTCTGAAGTTAGTTCTTCTAGCAGCTTCAAGCAAGGCTAGAGCAGAAAAATCACAAGACTAACTTTAGCAAGTATAATGAAGAACTTCAATTTACATCATAACTCCTTATACAAGTACAAGACAGTTAATGTCTATGTAAGCAACATAGCTGTAATTCTCAGATTCTTGTATGCAAATTTTCCCAAAAATACTCATTGAATCATGATTATCCGTACGAAAGGTGAGGAAATATTTTGTACAGGCCAGTAACTCACTGTCCATTGTATTTAATTACAATTAATCAAGGTCCTTTTGTAACTTATTCATGAGGAAACTGAATACTTGATGTCGGAGCTGCCAGCTTGATAATGGAGGATAAAGAACAAAAAGAATACAAATTTCAAGTTTCCATGAGAGTGATGAGACATCTACTGAATGACAGTAAATAAGTGATCTAGTTGGCGGGGCAACAAAAAGTATTTGTTCACCAGGAAGATTTGACTCCAGGTTTAGAAGATTAAATGAAGTCAATCTACACTCAAACAGTTAGAGAGTAACCCACCAAAATTTTTGGCTAACCCCATCTCCAGCATTATTAAAATTATGACAAATAAGAAATGAATTAGAAGCCAAACCAAATCCAGGACCACTGCTTGATAGATATGGTAGCCGGTATACATCAGCCTTTTCCAGCTTCAGAACATAACTGTAGCAACAATAAATGCAATCAGAAAGGACTTTAGACAAGAACTTAGCACAAAAGACGGTAGATTTGTAATTAAAGCCTCTCAAATCTCCATGCTTCATTTTATATGTTAACATCTTATTTACCATTGCTCCTTTAAATTGAACACAATACATCTCAGATTTAGTATCACATGTCTACAAAATTGTAGTATTCACAAAGATCAACATAAAATTTCCAGCCAAATCAGCAACATCAAAATTGTCTTAGTGTCACAAAGATGTTCCTTTACAAAATCAATTGCTTCTTTAGTTCTTTGTATCGGAGTATTCAATTAATTACTATTCTAAACATGCACAAACGATAAAAAGAAGGTAAAACAGCTAGGATCCCTATATGGGCGGATTTTGCCAGAAAATAAACTCCCTATCAGTAATGTGAATATTCAATCATCTTTGTTCTAAAAAAAAAAAAATTCAATCAGCTTGTTACCAGAATTAAAAAAAAATGGTATACGCAACTAATCAAGGATTATAAAGACAGTTACTGCAGAGATATCTATGAAGTGATGAACTGGATACATACGGGCTACCTGCTTCAATAAAGCGTTCGGCGATAATAGCATTCTGGCTTGTAAATTCACCTAAAAGAGGAAATCTGCAAAATAAAGCATATACAAGTTCCTCATAAATCTGGGTTAAGGGGGAAAGAATAACAAAAGACATTTCTGATCATATTCCTCAAGTCAGGCGGCTCCTCTAGAGATCTACATCAACTTTGAGAATTATATTATTAAAAATCTTGCTTGAAGTCTTCTAGTTATCACAAATCTCTTTTTCATTAATCTT